TTTTATCATCACACGCTGTTGTTGCTGCTGTATCTGATGCGGCTTTAATCCATCATTAAGCGCATTTTCCAAGTCGACAAAAAGATGCAGCGCGCTTTTTAGGGCCACGCACTCACACTGCCGTACACACCTACACATACTCGTACATACAATAAATTGCAGCAGCGATAAATGCGCAAGCAAATAACAAAGGTTATGCCAACTTATTCAAAGCAGCATAAAAACGTTCCTGCCTTGACTTCGTCTCCCGTTCTGCTGCAGGTTGCCTGCGCATAAATCAGACAAACACACACACACACACACACAGTCATACAGACAGTCGTACAGACAGGCACCCGAAAAGGATTTAGCAACACTCCAGAGGCAGGCAAGCATCTGCACAGTGTACACACTAAACGCACACTAAGTGGATTTGAAGCAGAGACTGTCGAGCAGGGAAGCTGAGCCAAGCAAAGCCACTAATGTTGAGCCACAAATCACAAACTGCGACTCAACAGCTGTGATTAAAGAACAGTTTTCACTGAAATTGTTTTTGCTATATCGTATATTGCTATTTCAGGAATACTCCTTTCTCTCTTCCGCTGCTTTCTTTATGACAGCTACTATTCCTTTTTTTTCTCCTAAGACTTCAATTCTATAACGTCTCCTTTTTGGTGCCTACGACTGTGATTCCTAACTTAAGCTTTTTACGATTTTTAAAGAAGGATATTTTTAGATTTTTAATCACTTAACTGGTTATACAAAGTGTGATTCGTAAATTGTGAATCGTTATTCATTTACAGCTGAATTTGTTAGAGTAGAAATATATTGTCATCTCTTATGAAATGCAAATGCTTTTATGAAACAAGAGAGCAATAAATATTTCTTAAAACTATGTACTTGTAATTGCAAATTGTCGATGGCATTCATTTGCTTAAACAAGTAACAATTTATTAAAATCATTTCAGTTCTTAGTTGCTTTATGAAATAAAATAAACCTAGTGCGGTATCCCAACTGAAATTAAAATCATGTCCATCAAGAGGTCCGACTAATATATAATTTTCGTTGGCAAGAAATCAATTTTATCTCAAATTCTCTTTTCGTTAAAATTAATATTTAAGCACAATTTCCATGCACAATATTCCCATCTAATAGCTTAAAATAATTAACAGAAACTGGCAAAAATAATGAAAATAAATAATATACGAAATATTTATACGAAAGACGCAGTATATTATTTATAATTTTAGCATTTTTAGTAAAAATAACTATATTTTCAGTTCATTTATGGTTTCCTAAGGTTCTGGTTCAATAATTTTAGCTGCAATTATATTTAAATTAGGATTAATAACCCATTATTGCGAGGTATTGCTATTTCACAGCTATTCAATTTTAAATATAGATTTATTTGAATTATAATTAATTTGGTAGAGGCATCTCTGAATTCGAAATAACAATATTGCACAAAATCTCAGTCACAGTCTGGAACAGAAAGAGGAATATGCTCAGCACTAGCACTCTTCCATATGGCTAAGAGGCAACAATGATAAGCGAAACGAGTTCTTGTGTGTGTGTGTCTGTGTGTGTGTGTGTGTGTGTGCGTGTGGATAAACTCATCTGCAATTTGTTTACTTTCGACATTTTGGAAAATTTACTAAAAAATGGGTTATTACGAGCTTAGCATAACAAGAAATAGAGAAACAGAAACGGAACGCAAGGCTGGCTGGGAAACTAGGATCAGCTCGAGGCAAGCCAAGCACAATTTGCATGCAAAGGCCGGTAGACGCATGAGGCAGCACACTCACACACACACACACATACACACTCACACACACACACACACACACAGTCATCTTCGACACACGGCCAAGATAGCGTTGAATATTTTTTGGGGCACCCAGTGCGTATGCTTAACGCAAAAACGATTAAGTTGTTGAGTTGTTGTTGAGAGCGCCAACGAGTGCGACTAAAATGGAAATTGAAAAACAGCAAAAGTAGTAAAAAGAATAGCATAGTAAACAACGGCAATGGCAACAGCAACAACAATATCAGCAATGGCAACAATGGGCCAGAGCTTCACATAAAGATATGCGCATAATATGCAGCACACAACACACGTATTGGCCATAAAAAGCCAAAACAAACAAAAATCGTGCCCAAAAAAAATAAAAGCGAAAGCGAAAGAAATGTAAGAAAATAGTAAAAAGGGTTTCCCACACTCCATCTCACCTCAACGCCACACCGCGTGTCCTTTCCGCTCGACAGCGCCGTTGGCTTGGCTTTTTCCACTTTTTTTTTCTTTTTTTTTTTTGGGTCAAGTTTATGCAGATGCCAGTAACGACGGGAACGGCTACGGCGACGCCAGCGCAGATGTTGACATCGCAGCGGCAAATGCGCTTAGAAATTTTTCGCGCGACAATAGGACGAGGCGAACGACGATGGCGAAGACGGCGACAGCGACGGGGAATATGTTAAAGAGCAGTTGTTAAAAAGGATTTACGTTTTACATTTGTGCTCATGTGAGTGCTGCCGGGGCATGGTGGGCGTGGGCGTGGGCTGCAGAGGGGAGGTGGGGGGGCTGGCATGTGGCATTGTGCCACACATTGGCATTTGGTCGAAAAAGCATTTCGTTTTGTGATTTCGAAATTCAAATTCCAATAAATTTTCCAACGATTTGGTGCACAAAGAGCGTGCAAGCGATGATAGAAGGAAGGAGAGGTGGTGACGAAAGGATCGAAGGACGAACGGTCCAAAAGCGTTTTCTTTTTGCATTTCATTTAATTTTTGTTGTTTTTTTCCTTTTCTTTGCAAATTTGTGTAGGATTTGCATGGAATAGTTGAAGCGTTCAAAGAGAGGATGGCTAAAGGTGTGCTCTTACTTGGATGCGCTTAAATATGCAACAATTTGTAGCACCAAACCGACAAAGACATCAGCCACCGCCCTCCAACAACGTTCGTGTCGGTCGTTCATATTGAAAGTCTTTGTATATTTGTTCTTTTTTTCGGTTTTTGATTAAAAATTGATGCGCTATTTACACGTGTGGCGCCCAACTGCTGCCCTCCATTCTGTTTACATTCGGCTGCGGTCAACTGCCAGTCCCCCAGGGGCCAGAGAACCCGGCAAATCGGATTGCAATTCTGTCGCGGCAAACATGCGATCCAACAATGCGGCGACACCGACAACGACGGCGCATTTTATCGCCAACCGACTACCATCGTTGACTTTTCTATAGCGTACACTCGATAGAGAGAACAGACACAGACACTGACCAGATGATGAATAGGAACCCCCAATTGTCCACAACATTAACGGATTTTAAAACTTTCGGCAAAACTACTAAACAATCGAATTTTCTAGAGAGCGTAGTGTGTCATGACTGTGAACGAAAAGTACTGGGCCTCTATACCCATAACTCAATACAATAGTTGTATAGACAATCGAAAATATTACTAGCTTGCTTATAACTTTAAAGCTTTCACAACATTTCTTGCTACTTAATTCAATTTTTTCAAGAATTTGGGACATTTTATAGAAATACCAACAGCTTTTCCGCATTACATAATTTGATTAATACGGTTTTAAAGTAGTTAAATGTTTAATTAAATGTTCCAATTCTATTAACTCTTTTTTTTTCATGAGCACTATATCGATGATCTGTTGTCCAACGCGATTAACAAGATTCTCTACTCTTCCTGTATTTAAAATTTTTTGTCTGTATTACAAGAACAAACATCTATTGAGATTTAATTTGTGCGATGCTCTTGTTCGTAATATAATTTAAAGAATCTGCAATCACTGCCCACATTGCAAATGGTCTCTGTCTTATTTTTATGTATTTCCTAACACTCTGCTATAAGTCATCAACTATTATTGAATTTTGTACGCAAATCTCATAACTTAAAGCTAAACCAGACATCTTTGTAAGCAATACTTCAGATATTTTAAAGTCTCAAAAGTTCAGTTATTCGAGTAGACACTGTGTTTGCGTTTCGCTGGACGTTCTATAACGAATTGCAATTGCAATGCCAACTACAACAACTACAAGTTGTAATTAATTTTTTAACGGCCGGAGCTCGTTAGTGACTACTCCCTGCCTCCCTGCACATCAGTTGGCAAATTAAAAGAATTCTGCGCCATGCTAGTCGACAGATTTTAAAAAATAACAACAATTTTAATGCATTTAAAAAAGCAGAAGAGTAAAAATAAAAAGAAAACCTCTCATTGCTTTTTGCTGCTGACATTGCGTATACGACGTGTGGTCTGCCACAAGAGCGACTCTTGATTTAACGCGTGTTTGAGTGTGCAAGTGTATGTGTGTGCGTGTGTGTGTGTGTGTGTGTATGATTATATATTGTGTGCCTGCACATTGTTAAGCTAAATATGTAGTCTATAAGCAAATCGAGATCGAATCAAGCACACCTATCAATAAACTGTCGCTAACTTTGCCTTCTTTTCATGCCTTGCCAAAACACACAAACAAACAAAAAAAACAAAAAATGTTTTAAATAAACTCATCAAAAATGTAAAAAATTGCTTTGCAACCTATAGCGGACATCATACAGGATGTTACGCTCTAACGGAGCGCGCAGGCTGAAGTAAGTGGCCCGAAAATGGGGAAGAAAGAGAAGAAGAATGAAAGACCAAAGTGATGATGACAAGTTTTGAGTTTCAGTTTGAGTTTTTTATCTTTTTAAATTAAGCTTTAAACAACGCACTCTCTCTCACACACACACAACCAAACAACCACAACAGACATGCAAAGACATCAAACAAATAGACACACAAGCATACATACACATTACTGAGAGTCCTGTCCACAATTTCTCGCTTCCCACTCACTGTGTGTTTGTTGTTACTGTTGGTTTTCCACACAGTTTTTGATTAGCATTTTGTTTTTAATTGTTTGCGCATGAGTTTGAACTTTTTAGTTTTTATTCTACCCCCAAACAGAGGCAAGAATTTTTAACTAATTTAAGCAACAATCTCCCTCTCTTTCTCTCCCATTCACTCTCCCTGTAGATTCACCATATCACGACGTAAGCGGCTTGCCGAATCCCTACAACATGGAGCACATGGAACAGGACGAGGTGCTGCCTCCACAACAGCACATGTCCCTCAGCTACGATGACAGTTTCGAGGGCGAGTATTCGACAACGCCAAATGCACGAAATCGACGCGTCATACGCGAGATTATTGTCTAGAATTGGAGCTACCCTGAAATAAAACAGCAACAACAATAACAACGAGAAAATAGAAAGAGGGCGCAGCAACAACTAGACTGTAAAAACGAAATCAAAAGCACATAACGTTCTCATCACATTCATTGCAACCACCTCATCAGCCCAGCTTCCAGTCTCATCGTCATCATGCAAATATTGAGTCTCGCCCTTCTTCCTTATACCCAACAACGAAACAAACTTCGAGTCGAATTTTGTGCAACTCTTTACTTAATTTTTACTCAAATTGTTTTTGAGCAAAGGTGGCCATGTTTTATAATTTTTTATAGTTCATATATACATACATACATACATATGTAGTTTAGCTGAAGGACATGCTGCGCTTGCGCGAGTCGGCAACGATGATAATATATATATACATATATATATACAGGTATGATACTACCGGAATACATACGCCCCTAATTTTAGTTGTCTAAGCCAGTGGCAGCACTTTGTTGACACACACTTACACACATACAAGCTCACAGACACACAAACACACACACAGAGACTAACATGCTAAATGTTAAAGCAAAGATACGATCTACTATATAGTGCAGTAGTTATACATACATACGTACGTACGAATATATATATACACACACCTGCGTGCGTCTATCGTGCGTGTTGTTTAGGTCCCAGTTGCAAAAGCAAAACAAAACTAAAGCTAATAACTTTAAGGAAAATGTTGAAATGAGCAGATTTCAAAAAGCAAACAAAAACAAAAAAAAAAACCGAAAAAAATATCTCACTCGTGTTTTTGTAAGGCACGGCAGCAAGCAGTTTACTTAGATCTTAACAATTTAGGGCATAAGCGATTGTGTTAAGGTGGTCACCGGGGAGGGGAAAGAGCCAACGAAATTTGTCTGAGTACAGAGCCCCACGCTAAGAGAATTTAAAGCATTTGCAACAAATTTAGTTTGTTAATTACATATACTAATACGAATGATGAACAGTACGACCTGCCACGAGAATAATTCAAAATCGTACCATTAAATAATTTTACATTTTTAAATAAATCTAAATCAAATAAAACAAAATGTTGCTTTAAGTAAACTACAAAAAAATACCACTTGAAACATTAAAGAAGAGAAACAAAAACAAGAAAAAAAACGCAGAAATTATTAAAAATAATGAAAAATTATATAGAATTAGAAACTCCAACTGTGCAGCTGATTGCGAACTTTAATTTAATTTAATTAAAAGAAATTAACAAACTGTTTTGTTTGTTTTCCTGAGCTTTCTGTTGAAATTCAAAATTTTATATAATTTAAATTATACAAAAAAATATAAACAAATATTCGCACTTGTTTAAGCTTAAGTTATTCCACATACACACATATTTTACTAGTTTTACATTAAAAACAAAAAATACAAGCATATTTAAATTTTGTGTCTTTATGTTTACTGTTTTAAAATATTGTTGTGTGTTTTTTTGTTTGTTTGCAACTTATTGACGATGCCACACACTGCAAATTGTAGCTAAGATTTAATTGTAAATACATGTGTAATTTGTATGTATATATTTACTTTATATACAAAGTAAATAAGCGACAAAGTGGAAGATACTTATATAAATTAATTAATGGTAGTTAATTTTAAACAATTTAAAAACAATTTAGTGCGTAAGCCATGCAAACAATTGTTCGAGGAAATGCCACAAAAAGTAAAGCAAAATAAAAAAAAATAATTGCATCAAAAGCAAACTCTCTTTAAGAACAAACAAAATGAAATACGAGAAAGAAACCTTTATTATATTAATTATACACCTTAAAGCGATATACAGAAAAACATTATATATATACACATACATTTACATCTACTTATTATTTGTAAATAAGTACAACATATACATATATAAATATATTTTAATTTTCAAAACAAAGCGAAACGAAATCTATTAAATATAATATATTTCAAAAAAAAAACCAACCACACATTTTTATTGTGCAAAAAAGTGAATTTATTTCTTATTTTCCAATTGATTAATTCGTCCTCACTAATGCAAAATTACTAGATCTGCGTGTTTTTCAGCCACACACACTCACAGATACCAAACGACACCACACAGACTCCACTTATATTTTTTTATTCAGTTTTAAACAAATGCAAAACGAAAATGAATAAAATTGTGAACAAATTTAATTTAAATTACCTGAATGTTCTTTTTATTATGCACGGAATAATGGTAAGTTTTTGTTGCCTACTTTCAGGCGGAGTCTGAAAATTATTGCAAAGGAAATTTTAATTGTAATCGGAACTCGCATGCGTGAATATATGTATGTGCATGCAAGCCCTTTGCATTATGCAAAGCCAGGGAATCCGAAATACACACATTCCTACAGAATGCGAAGTCAGCCAAACGACGAAATACTGATAGAGTCCCTTGCAGTCTTAATTCCTGCATCGTGCCAGACTTATATTTACACTTTAACTCAGCAGTCTGGATCTCCTTGAGCTACAATGATAATGAAGTGGGCATTTAAATTAAATGCCATGCGTTTTGATTTGTTAGCGTGTGTAATGACAACGTCAACAGTAATAAGGTCAACAGTAGCAGCTGCAGCAACATCAAGAACATAAGCAACAACAGCAGCAAAGGCAACATAAAGCATTGTTGCATAATGTGGCCTGTTTAAGTTGATTGGAGCAAAATTTATAGCATGCAATTTGACTTAAGTGGCAGTAGAGCAACGGCGATAGAGACTGAAATGTCGAGGATGGCAATGTTGGCGCCGGAAGTAACACGACACTGACATTTTAATTTAATGCCTTTCACAGTTGCCCACTTTTGCGGTGACAGTTGCGCAATGGGAGCCACTTAACCTCCAATGCCGCTGCCGAGCCCACCTACCTCTTTAAATTTATTGTACATAGAAAAAAACGCAGCTTAAAGCAGATAATGGCGATAATTTGTCCTACATTTTATTAAAGAGCGGCTATGTGAACCAACTCTATATGGTATTAATATTGAGGTAGAAATGTTTAATAATAAATCTCTTAGAAACCGTAAAGAAAGCTCTGTGACATGTTGCAAAAAAAATCTGTTATAGTCCTATTAAACTTCTTGGTACGAACAGTATTTTCAATTTGTGCATTGTAGAATTAGGAAAAGTATTTAAAATAAAACTTTAACATAATTGCAGCTGTAGTCGATATAATCATTTATATATTTTGCTACACTCAGGAAGCACTAAAAGGCTTGATTATAGGTAAGTAGATTTATTTATTATGGTGGATAACATAAATAATATCAATGCTTGTACAACAAAATTACCAATAGATTATCAATAGTGAAAAAACACAATCAATATTTATGATAGTTGAAAAGTTTAAGAATATGGTTTCTAAAACAAAACATGCAAATAATATGTAGAAAAGTTTAATAAACTTAAAGAGAAAATCTAATAACAATACGAACATAAATGTGGCTCTTTGCAGATAAAACAAATATTTTTGGTCCAGCTATTGACACACTTCCATCTTAATTTTTGAACTAAAATATTTGTGTACTTTTTAACCTAAAATCAATCTTAACTGAACATATCTACTCATGTTCTCATACTCGTACTAATTGGTATTGATTCTCAGCACCACTTGGGTATTGACAAGCCACTCATGAAATTTGTTGAAAAAGCCATGAAAATGAAAATGAGGTGGGAAACTATAGTACTCAAGAATTGGCCATAAATTGCAGTCAGTTCGTGTTTCTCATATGTGTCAGCCACAAAACAAAAGCGTTACATCAAATTTATTTAGTGCGCCTTACTATTATATATATATATACATATATACAAGAGCTACCCCGCGCACCACCCACACAGCAGCAGCTAGGGAACCAACAAATAGGCAGCCACATGTAACAACCACGACAATTAAAGCGCTGCCATGCCTTCTAATTGGATTTATGCCACATTTATGTGTAGGTGTAAATTCATGGAATTGCGGCCGGCACACGAACTCGACTAAAAATCAAGGGATAATGAGGACTGCCATTAGGCCAGTAAACCACAAACGAGCACGGGCCAGCAAAAGTCAGGAGCAAACAACGGCCAACAAGCAACAACCAACAACCAACCAACAATTGCAAGGCAGTTGCTCGGCTAGCAACTTTCGAGGACTTTAAATGAAATTACGCGAAAACTTTTGGCGAAACTTTTTCAAGAGTCGCGTCGACTGCGGTGCCACGCATTGTTCTTGCTGTTCTATTCTCGAGGGGGGTGGACCTGCCAGTAATGACTTTCATAAATTAACGCAAATTAAAGATATTTACCTTATAGGCACTGGCCCTATACCTACCATACCCACACACACACACACAACTGGGAGTTGCGGTCATTGGTTTGTAATTAATGCGACCAACATCACCAACGCACCACTCGGTCGCCTACCCTCGAACCCCTCGTGCCATCTAATGTGCCACAGCGCTGACCCAAACATGTTACTGGACACTGCCACACATTGCGGCGGCGGCCGGTGGCACACGTTGAGTGCTTTGTGTTTAATTTTATTAATTGTCGACGTAATCTTTGAAGTTGGCGCTTTAGCTGCGATGAGGCGCAAAGGCTATCTGTGTGTGTGCCTGGACGCAACTTTTGTCTGCCGCCGTGACGCATTAATCGTGTTAACTCGAACGTGCGTCATGCACAAATGCGAAGACAACAGTGCTGGCGTGCGCCTAAATATTTGATCAACTCTGGCTAGCACGTGTGTTTAGCACCAACGTTGCCAACTTTTGATGAGCAGCACGGAGAAAAAGAAGAAAACCACAGCAAAAAACAAATGAGAGCCTTCTAATTAAGCACCCACTCCTATCAATTATTCTCTTCGCAGGTGTGATCTAATTTATATTTACCATTGGGGTGTCAACAAAATTAAATTAACTAACATAAAACAAATAAGGCAACATTTTACTGCATTAACTTTCGTTTCTTAGTTAATTATTTATTTAATTATTTATTTATTTTATTTGAAAGTCTGCATTTTCAAATTTCAAAATCTCCCAAGCACCTCTGATTTAATACTCCAAGCACAATTATATGGAGAGGCTTTAACAAAGTAGGGATGGATTCGTGATGAATTTTGTTAAGACTATATTTAGGCATGGGATTCCAATCTGAAGATTTCGTACTTTCACAAAATTTCCTTTCAGATTTCCAGTCTATCCGTCTGTCTGTCTGCATTATAGATTTCTAAATCCCCAAGCAAGACAAGTTTGTTATATTTTTTGGATTTTTCCCGCCTCCTCCGCTACATAATTTCGTCAATTTCCAAAGCTACATAAGCCAAACATTCCTTTCGTATGTAAAAAGTATATATTTATCCACATTTGTTTTTTCATTTAAATCTGTTAATTCTAAGAAAAGTGGTTAGCAAAACAATTTCACTCTTGGTTCGCCCTTGTCCTTTTTTTCTGCTTCGGTAGTTCCTTCTCGGTATTCGGTATGTCACTCTCTATTTTAATCAGTATGAATATATAAATTCTAACGCTTGTTTATGTTTTTAGAAAGCTAGAAATACTAGCAATGAACAAAATGAATATAAGTAATTGTTCAGCTAATTTAACTTAAAATGAATCCTTTTTTAATACATTCAAAAAAGCGAATTGCCTTTTAATATTTCGAAAGAAGTCTCACTAATAATTCTTTAATTGCGAGCTGCTGGTCAAATTTAAAACTGCTTTTGATTTTCAATAACCAAACGTTAAACGATTTTAGAAACTGCATTACTTCTTTACTAGCAAAAAGATCAATTCTATCGAAATCCTTGCATTTGATTCTAAAAGAAAATACGCCTACAGGACAATAGTCCTACAAGTACAATATGGCAAATACATGATGTCTAGAAGAACTTTATCGCCTCCTCGCCTCGTCATTATTATCGTCGTCGTGGCTGCATTCCCAGCGGCGTAATTTGAGTGTAAATATTGAAGTTTAAAACCAGCGCTAATAAAAGTAATAATAATAATAATGAGCAAATATTTAAAGAGCAGTTGCCGCTGCCGCCGCCACCCTGCCAACCGAAAGATGAGCAAACAGTAGCCGAGCAGCAGCTGAGCCAGCAGCGGCAGCAGCGACAGCAACAGCAACAACAACAACCACAATAGCACACGCCCACATGCATAAATTTAACGCTGCCCGCTGATAAGAGCGAGAAGAGAAGAATAAAAGAAAAGCAACCCTCGGTCGTGGCTTCGGACTGTAATTACGAATGAAATTTAAATTGCAGGAAGCGAAAACGAAATTCATTGCGGCGCTTGCATAACAACTGAACGGCGTATTGAGACTCCGAGTCCAATCCCAGCTGCAGTGCCGGCCAGCCTCATCCCCATCCCCAGCCCTCGCCCCATCCCCATGGCTGCCACGTGCCGTTCGTCTGTACACGTGTCGCCATAGAAACGCGTTTTGACGTTGGCGACAGCCCTAACGGAAGTGCCAATAAGTAGTTGTCAATATTGACTGATTATCTGAACGCCAACGAGCGGGAATCAGTGAAAGTAAGCGGGGAGCGGAGTCGGGCAATCGTGATTGCAAGTAGTTTGAGATTTAAGCGGAAGTAAACATAAATCTCGACGACAGCAGTGTGCCCGCAACCCTCTCCAATACACTCACAAAAATTAGCGAATTATGCTTAAATAAATGCAAATTCCTCACAGCTTAAATAAATAGCAACCTAAATGCTTAGACATATATTAAACAATTAATTGCATTGCCAGCAGCTGTTTCCTAATCGCAAACACTGAAAAAAAGTACATGCATTTTTTCATTTAGTGCGTTATAAACTAATGCTTTGGGCTTAAGGTGTTTTGAAAATTATAAAAAATGAGGGAAATTCAAATCACTTGTTAAAATTAAATATTGTTTCTTATTTTTCAGTATTTTAATTAATGATTGGTAGCAGCTCATGCAAAAACGTTCAGTAAATAAATATTATCAACTTACTAGAAAGTTAAAATTATAAAATAATATTTTAAAAATATTAGTAAAACTTTTATGTATTATTTATTTATTTAAAATTTCGCGTTTTCATATTTTTGAAGAGAAAGCACGCGAGATAAATTGTTTCGCTCAGTGTACAGGCAATGCAATTATGTCGCATCGCATTAAAGATTGCCGTCAGCTGAGATGACAGGAAGAAGCTGCTGTTATTTAGTTGCTAAACAGGAGATGCGCATAATTGCAGCATCGAGTAACAGAAGCCCCGGCTATATAGTGTATGGGATAAGCTCAAAATTATACTATGAATCAAATGTAACCGCAATGAATGATGGAAACGAAATGAGATGGAATAGAATTGCGCTTATCAGCTTAGTGGACGGGCATGTAGATAAGAAGTCCTATCTAATTTTGGAAATATTAGTGAAATAATTAAGTATTATTTCTGTGTATTTATTTTCAATTTCTAATTTTTAAAAGCTTGTGTTTTCATATTTTTGAAGAGAAAGCACGCGAGATAAATTGTTTCGCTCAGTGTACAGGCAATGCAATTATGTCGCATCGCATTAAAGATTGCCGTCAGCTGAGATGACAGGAAGAAGCTGCTGTTATTTAGTTGCTAAACAGGAGATGCGCATAATTGCAGCATCGAGTAACAGAAGCCCCGGCTATATAGTGTATGGGATAAGCTCAAAATTATACTATGAATCAAATGTAACCGCAATGAATGATGGAAACGAAATGAGATGGAATAGAATTGCGCTTATCAGCTTAGTGGACGGGCATGTAGATAAGAAGTCCTATCTAATTTTGGAAATATTAGTGAAATAATTAAGTATTATTTCTGTGTATTTATTTTCAATTTCTAATTTTTAAAAGCTTGTGTTTTCATATTTTTGAAGAGAAAGCACGCGAGATAAATTGTTTCGCTCAGTGTACAGGCAATGCAATTATGTCGCATCGCATTAAAGATTGCCGTCAGCTGAGATGACAGGAAGAAGCTGCTGTTATTTAGTTGCTAAACAGGAGATGCGCATAATTGCAGCATCGAGTAACAGAAGCCCCGGCTATATAGTGTAGGGGATAAGCTCAAAACGATACTATGAATCAAATGTAGCCGCAATGAATGATGGAAACGAAATGAGATGGAATAGAATTGCTTATCGGCATTTGGGCATGTGGGTAGGAAGTCTTATCGCGCGAATAACTGAGTGTAGGCTGAGACATACTCGCATGTACTTGTATGTATGCTCAGGCGCCTTCGAGTTGCTTTCAGTCTTGCTTCGAGTTCGGAATACGCAAAATGTCGTACTTTTCAGGAATCTATTTCGCCCTCTTCTGCATTGGGTTGGTGTGCCTTCCACAACACACTCAAACACTTTTATCGCAACGCTGCGGCGATCCACCAAATATACCCTATGGAAACTTTCGCCTGAGATTGTTCTCGGTGCGCTATAGCTGCCAGCTCGGATTCTTTCTGCAGGGGCAGCCACGCATTTTGTGCGTCAACGGACGTTTGAATGGCGAGATACCGGTCTGTGCTAGTAAGTAGAGTCTTCGATCTTGCTAGAAGGATGTGTGACTGTAGGGCTTGTTTGCTTTCAATAGAGCCGGGCTGTCCGAAGCCGAACGATCCGGCCAATGGAGAAATCCAGCTGCATCGCAGATTAAGTGCCATTATCACTTGTGAGGAGAACTTTGTGGTGGCGGGCAATGCCGTCAGCTTCTGCAATGGACGGACTTGGGATCGACCGCTGGGCTTGTGTCGGCCAAGCAATCACTCACACAACTATTTCTGCGATTTTGAAAGCGAGGATCAGTGCGGTTGGGGCTCGGACAGTTTCTTGGAGAACAATTGGAAGCGAGTGGCCACTGCCAGTCGCTTTAAATCGTATCGCACAGGTCCACATCACGACCACACGATCAAAACTGCATATGGTGGCCACTATATGCTAATGGAGACTCTCAAGCCGATCCTTGGCAGGCACGACCTGCACTCCCCCATCTATCCGAGAGCGCTGAGTCTGCGTACCGCTTGCTGCTTTCGGTTCCATTATTTCATGTATGGCGCGGGTGTGGGTCGACTTATGGTGTTCGTCAAGCCACATGATCTGACAATGGACGACGTATTAAGAGAGCCAGCGACGTATGTGCACTAAATACGATAAGCCTTGCTTTCTCTTTCATTCTTCAAAGCGTCTCTTCTCTCTTAACTGCTCCCTCTCTCTCTCTCACTCCATCACTCTCTGCAGCTATGTAAAGTTTAATGTGACTGGAAACCAGGGCAACCACTGGCTGGAGCACGTCATCAGCATCGACGAAATGAGCGATAAATTTCAGGTGGTATTCAGCGCAGAAACAAGCAATTTGCACAACCTCGGCGATATAGCCATCGACGATGTCCAACTGCTAACCGGCAGCGATTGTAGCTCTGGAATAACAACCACTGAACAGGCAACTGAAGTCCCGGAGGAGACTACGGAGCGGGTGACTTTTGATATCATGAATTGTACGAATCGGTGTGGGGAATCGACTAACGATAGTTGGCGAATCACAGATGATTGGACACTGTTAAGGACCTGTAACTGCAGTGAGGATTGTTTCGATAACGACAGTTGTTGTTCAGATTATTTGATGACTTGCCTGGGCAATGATGAAACGACAGTGATGGAAGAAGCAACAACAATAGCTTTACCAAAGACAACAACACCTACAACAACAACAACAACGACAACACCCAAGCCAACAACAAGAACAACAACAACTACGACGACGACAACCACAACCACAACGCCAAAGCCAACTACCACTAGTACAACAACAACAACAACAACAACCACTACGCCAAAGCCAACTACCACTAGTACAACAACAACAACAACAACCACCACACCAAGATCAACAACATCTACAACCACCGTTGCAACAACAAGAGCCAAAACAACATCCAGCACTCAAATACCTCGTGACATAGTTGGTAAGCTGCTTCCTTTCTAAAAACAAACTCTATACAAGTAATTACTATCTAATTAATATTAATTACTATTCCTAGCCAAGCCGACACGGCAACGCTTTAACCGAGTCACCTGGAAAGTGGAACCGGGTCAACTGGAAGGCTCATCCAACAACAGCAGCCCGGATCACTCGTTCGCAATGCTCCTCGTATTCCTGGCCATCCTGTCAATAATTGCTGTGGTCTTGATCCTTACTCGAGTGCGACGCTCCAAGTCGTCGAGCGGCACAATGGGCGATGCTGTCAGCTACCAGCCACGCCCTAAGCCCAACATGCATTCGGCCCTATCTAAGCTCAGGAATGCGATGCGCATTGACCAGCGCAATGGACAGGAGGATACGAGAGCCTTGTGTGTGGCAGACGATGAAGACTGCGTGCAGTTTGAGGAGGTGGGAGTCGATGTGGGACGTCTGAATAATAAGACTACCTCTGAGCTGTAGATCAAAGGTCAGCAGAAACATTTCCCAAGATTTCTCGAATATAAAATTAAAAATTGTATCTTAACACGATGTGAAATATAAGAAACTAATTAAGTAAAAGAACGCAATGTGTTTTAAATAATTTTTGCTATACTTGTATTATTTATCCAAAGCAACAGCCTGACAACAGAGGTAAACGGCTAAGGAGATAATAGAAAACTGACAAAAATTAAGTGTTTACAAGTATATAGCTCGGAGAGCGAGATCATGTACTTCTTGCTTGGAGATGTCAAGTACCTTTAATGGGCGTGGCATGGCTCAACCATAATGTGAGTTCGTTTCCTGAGCTTGACTCGATTCAAATCAGGGCTGTAGCATCATCTCATAAAGACTGATTTCAAAAATGACTTGCAGCTTTTGAAATTCTCTAAAAGTGGTTTATGTCCAATAAATGCCCATATGAAGGACGATTCAGCAGCAAAAAAGGACAGGTAAACCCCTGAATCGAAATTAGCAGACGTGCAAAAAAAACCTCTTTTAATGAAGCTACTATGATACAATTGATAAAATTAATTGCAGATTGTTTAATTGAATCGAATCAAAAAGTGTTGTATTTATATATCAGTGAATCAAAAACCAATGCCAACAGCTAAAGCACATGTTTACTTTATCAAAGCAATCTTCAACTGCCCAGAAATTATGTAACTGAAAACATTTCAATTCGCTTATAAATGCAAATTATTATTTAACATTGACTTTGACAATAAATTGTATTCCTTTCGCTCAAGTCGACAACTGCACAGCTCCACAGTTTCCATTGAGGCGACACAAGAGATGCTTCCTTATATGTACAAGTATATCTTGATTTATCAATAAAATTGCATCATAAGTCATCTTTCTTGAGTGCAGTTATATCATGGCAATGTTCATGTTGTTGTTCATTCTACACTGAGAGAAAAACACACGTAAATTTAAATATTTACACGTTTAAATATTTTCAAATATTTTTAGATTTAAAGTGTGCACACTTCAATTCCAAGTTGACTACTAAAATATTAAATTTAAAGTGTGACGATATTAAATTATGATGTGGGCGTTTATTTGTTATAATTTTAAAATATTTCCCTCACTTTTTTTCTACTCTACTGTATTTAATTCTTTCCAATAACGACCCTTCCATATTTTATATGCATATATATTTTGTATGGAACCATTTTTAGCTTGAATTAATTTTCCAATTCTTTTGATTATTAATTCTTATCACTTATAAATTGTCTTGACGTCTCTTTTATGCTTTTTATTTTGTTTAATATTAAAATATTAAACGTGAAGAAAGCGGATTACTTGACACATACTTAACGACCATATACATATGCCAAGGAGTTACACCCTTATATTTATACGACACAACTGCCGAAAATCGACTTGAGAATTCTTGTCAATTAAAGTTTATATATTTCTATTATATTTAAATCGACTACATCAAACATCAAATTAAAGTTGAGAAAAATTTTACAATTTACTATTATTATATAATATATAAAATTAATATATTAATATAATTAATACTAACATATTAAATTAAACTATTTGCTATGTGAAGTGGGCGCATAATGAAATTAAATATGGTCCAACATTAAATTAAGAATGTCACACTTTAATGGCAAAGATTAAAACTTTGTTTTGAATATTATTTATTTAAATCACTAATTGAATATGTTTTTAATAAAATTTACGATGTTTTTATGTGATTTGAATATGAAATAGTAAAACATTAGATTGAATATGAAAATATTCATCTGTACTACGAACTTTTTTTATTTATTTAATTATATAATGCTAGCTTAAAATTAAAATCTGTTAGCAATGGCTGCTATGGCCTTCAGTTAACTTTGAATGTACATTATACAGTATTAAAGAAAAATTTAGGAATACATTTGTATGAGGATTGGGTTTAGATTTTGTGGTAAATGTTTGTGGCTTTTAAATATTTTAATATGAGTTTAGAGTTTAGTTTATGTATTGATGGTGTATTGATTTGCAATTAAGGTGATGGGGTTAATATTTTTGAGAATAGATAATCTAGGTGGAAGGAGTGTGGGGCATGAGGTGAGGATATGTGCAATGTTTATTAGCGCATTATTGCAGAACGGTGTGTGTAATGTGTGCGTGTTGATGCGGCATGTCCAAGGCGAATTCTCTTAAGTTTTTTTGTTCAATGGGATGTTTGGTTGAATCGAGTTGCTTGTTTTCGAATAAAATAATTTTTTAGAGCTTGGTTTATGTCGGAGGAATTGTAGTTCGGGGTGTAAATAAAGGGAAGAGCTGTGGCCAGGTGTACGAACTTTTTTATCAGTGTATGTTTTATATAATTTCCTATGTTTCGGCAATCAAAAACAATTTTGCATTCAAGTAGTATTTGATGAGCAACTGGCATATTCAAATGACAATAAATATGCTTACAACTCCAACACCAATATGACAATAAAGTGTAACTAGATAGTTTGGCCAACTCGACTTCAATGGAAGAAAGTGTACAACAACATTGTTGCATAAACTGAGCTTTGTTTATATGTTGCAGTGGCACACAGCCATTTTAGATCTAAGATACTATTTGTGGCTCTAACACGCTGAAATATATGGCTACAACTATTTTAAGCGCTTCGCCAAATCTTTTAATCAAATCGCTGGGCGGATGGAGAGGGGGAGGGGGTTTGGGCACACCGGTCACAGGAGCTACTAATGCCCCTCCAGCCAGGGGCACAACAACCACAAAATGGCCCGAAGCGTGCAACAGACGCCGCTGCCTGTTGGTGGCTGCTTCTCTGGTTTTTGTGGCACGTGTCCTGCAACGTTGCTGGCGTTGCAACGACCCACCCTGTGGGCTGGCTCATGTTTTAACAGCGGCTTTTGGTTGTGATTTAGTGGCGCGCCAGGGCTTAGCGTGCTTATTACGATGGCCAACCCTCGAAGCGGATGGTCGAGGCATTTAAGGCGACAACGTTGGTGTTGGTGTTGGCAATGGCGATGGCGCTGGCATTTTGGAAACATTTTATGCCGCACTCAGCGAATTTTCGGGCATTTCATGCAATTATTGCTGCGCATCCAGACCTGCGGAGGGGTTGAGGGTGCTTTCTGGTTTCGACGTTTGCATGCTCAACAAATTTTCACAAGATTCTGGAGTTTGGAAAAGTGCGTCTTCTATGTATTTGTATTTTTGATTACACGGTTTTGCATTTTATTTTCCAAGTATTTTTGCCTTAATCGCCTTGGGGGCGGTTCTGTCAGCAACCCCGGTCGACTTAATACCTCAAATTGTCAGCCACCCCCAGCGCGCACATGGATGTGGTGCTGAAGGCTGCTGTTTGTCTTTTTGACTTAACGCCTCTATCGACTTCTCACACATCATTTGACGCAACGGCAAGGCGTTGGGCATTTTTAATTAAAAAGCCATTTGGGGCTCACAACTTTGGGGGCGTGCCTACGAAGTCTTTGGGCGCATTTAAATAATGCGCACTCAGTCCGTAATTAAATTTGGAGTGCGCATAGGCGCAGTGGCTTATCTTTATGAGGTTTGGGAGGGGGTCGAACGAATCGGGTTGCATGTTGCAATCGTGTCGTAAATTTTCAAGTCGTCAGCGTCCCAAGGCGCTTGACGAGCCACTAACTGACCCATTCAAAGGCGAAGGGATGGCAAATTTTTGCAGCTACGAGTATGCGTCGCTTATCTCGGACGAGCCCACACACGACGCACCTTCACCCAAACCAGCAGGACCAGAGCCAGCTAAGGCACCCCAATTGGCCCACCCACCACGCTTATACCCTCACGTTCTAGGCAGCTTTACCGCTGGGCCCGCTTATCGCCGCAATAAATCGCATTAATTTATTGTTGTCGCCGCATATTTCGTTGGCGCTGTCGTGCCACGCCCCACGCCCCACTCCCAACGCCCTAGCTAGCCAGCTCGTAATTTAATGGGGCTTGTCTGGCGAGGCCAAAACGATTCAATCCCATAAGCCCGCACTACCTGCCAGCCAGATCGCCTTTCGGCCTACCTCTACACTATTGTTTTCCATTTAACACTTTTTAGTCGCCCTTTGTCCAGTGTTGCCTTTCCGTTAAGCAACATGCAACAGCGAATATGGAAAAGCGTCTCACATACCCTGCCACTAAGGAAAGCCTTAAAGAGTGCCTTCCTTTTGATATGCACCTCCACAACCAGAGACTCTCTATTGATTTTTTGACATCCTCAACTTAATAAAGTCTAGAAGCCTTTTAAATTGCGAACCTCTTTTTAAATTCAGTTTCCAGCTGCTGCGATGCACACATTTTTTATTTCGTTTTTAAACTTGGTGGAAGAAAGTAAGATTTTCGAAATTTTCGAATAAATATGAATAAGAGCTTTGATGAACAATTCGCTGAAATGAAATATGATAGTCTGTTTAACTGACGTTTAATGATTGATGGAATTGTTCAAATTTGGCGTTTCTGTAATAAAAATTATGTCTCACAGTCAATGAGTTAAAGGAAAAAATTTAAAGTTTCTCAAAAACAATTGACCACCAAGCACAAAAGTAGAATTTAATGTGTTCGATTTTTGAAAGCAAACACAGCTATAGCTTAAACACTCAAATGGTTTACTTGAAAGCAAATATTGATAGACAATAATACAATACGCCCAATTCTCTCAATTTGAACTCCAAAGGGACAGGCATTTAATTCTAAGGTTAATATTCAAATAGATTTAATATCCCTAAGTACATTTAATATTTCATTTTATATTATAAATTATATAAGCAATTCTTCAACAAAAGAAACAAATATTAATAAACAATAATACAATACGCTCAATTCTCTTAATTTGTGCTGTGAAAGGCATTTAATTCTAAGTTTAATCTTTAAAATAGATTTAATATCCCAAATAGTTTTAATATTTCATTTAATATTATATATCTCACAGAAAGCGGCAACATAAAAAAACTAATTAATTAACTAACTCGTGTATTCTAATAATTCCGATTGAATAAAACATTTTTGTTTGAATTATGACCCATTTTTTGGCATTAGCTGGCAAAGCATAAGA